TCTTCACATTACAAACTTTCGAACAGCGACGTTGAACAGTAGCTATCATAATTAACTTCAGAACTTGTGAAGCCTTCAGCCTTGCTTTCATTGCCGATATCGGCTAACTGGCATCTCCAATACTCCGTCTGCGCCATCCTCAAGGTGCAGCACTTGTGTCGATTCGAAAGTCCTGCAGAAAAGCGCGCATTCAGCCACCAGAACCACCAGAAGTTAAAGGGCGGAGACAGCTTGCGCGTTTGGCTATGGTTAGGCGTGTGGCTGGCAGTGCGGCAGCTCGGGAAGGACACCCGGGTACCAGGTGTCCTTCAGTCCTGTCTCCGTGCGCTTTTGACCGACGAAAGTGGCACGCTACTGCAGCTGCGGTCCCACTCTTCCCGCGCACGGCAAGGAGCAAGAGGTGAGTGAACCATGAGTGCTTTAAGGCTGTGGCACAAAAACCATCCAGGCTGAGAGAGTAAGGTGGTGTAACGAATAGCGCACTCGTCCGGAAAGCCAGAGGTTTGGGTTCAAGTCCCTCCTGCGGTTAAGACTTCTCTCCATAACCCACCATTCTTGCGGTACTTGTCCGGAATGTTCTGTCTGAAACCAATAGAGATTCACTTCCGCATACGGTGAATCACAGAGGATTCCATTTAGTTACAAATGCTCGCCTACAACACCGACCTCTATAGGAATTTCTCAGCAGCTTCTCGATCGCCGCATGGTATCGCCGGTATTTCAGTATTAGTCGATGTAAGTTTCACTTTATTCGTAAGCTTTGGAGATTTCCCTACTAATGTTGGTTTTTCAGTATGGAAAGGAAACAAATGAGGAGTTGTTGAAACTGACCATAGCGACGGCAAGTATTATCTACAAAGGTAGGAGAGGATTTGCGTTGCTTCCTCGAGAATATGAGAGTTGATGAAGGCCCTTTCTTTTGCATTCCGTAATTAAATTACCGAAATTGTTTGCTTGGTTGAACAACCACTGAGGTCGTCATTCGGGAAGAAGCGGCACTGACACGCTTCCAGGTACCCCAACACCTTTCATTAATTCTTCTGAAGATGAGGAGACTAGGACTGGTTTTCAACCTTGACCCTTTCCCTTATTTGGCCCTTTTTTTCCTCCAGTGCTCGAAACGGGAGATTGAAACTGACAGCGATGAATGGACAATACTTTTGAGCATGACCTATATTTCACGACGACGTTGTTACTGTACGTGTATGACATTCCAACCACCAATAATCACCGATCAGCCGTTGGTACCCAAGCTGCACACCAAATCGCAAAGATGGAGAGGGCGTGTAGATAGAGCATTAAATGTGCATAGGATAGGCTGACTTTCTTGGTAAAATATTGCCGGACAACTGCAGTGATGTCTCTATCAAGCGCGAGACAAAATGGCAGTTGCCTCGAATGAAATGCTCCGCGAAAGATGCGTCCTACGCCATATTCGAATGAAGGACGCAGCCACGCCGTTCCACGGTCCAAGGTATGGCGAAGGTAATCATCGCGGACATGGAAAGACGTAATGTCCTCCGCTGTTGCGCTAAATATTGTATCAGATATAGGCAGTAAAGTTATCTACATTACGGCGCAAAGGCGGACGCTCTGACCCTCACTGTTCGCCGATGTTTTAATTGATAACCGACCATGAAAAATCTGACTGGCTAACCGATTGACTTACAACACATCAGTTTTCGAAGGTTTCCATAAGGTGAGTGATATTTCCCCGGAAGCGGTAACAAAAATGGAAGACACATTGAGATATTCGTGCCCTAGCTCCATAAAAGCAAGCTAAGCAGGGATAGCCGAGTGGTTAAGAGTGTAGACTCATAATCTCACTCTGAGCCACGAGTTCGATCCCTGCCGAGGCACAAACCTGCCTTGCAAAAATTGCAAAAATGGGGACGATACCAGCGTCAGGCCCAGGTTGACAGGCCGGCTGATGGAGGAACCCGTCACAACAACCATGACAAGTCGCAATAGAATCAGTGTAAAAGCTACGTCACCCGGAAGTGGCGCGCAGAACCCTCGCCCGAGTTCTGTGGTCAGTATGCGAGGGCTACCGAGGGGTGAACGACCTCGGCCAAAGAAGCTAGTTCGAATTGGGACCCTGGTCGCTTACCGGGAAGTCTCGTGAGGTTGCCGACCTCATGAGACGCAGGAATATCCAAGTCCTATGCCTGCAGGAAACGCGATGGAAGGGTGCGAAGGCCCGCGAGATCGGAGAAGGTGTTAAACTCTTCTACAATGGAGCAGACACCAAACGGAATGGCGTGGCCATAGCGGTGGCAGAACCCTCAAGGACTGCGTCTCCACTGTGAGCAGGATCAGTGACCGGATCATGGGAGTGAGAATGGACACGAAGGAGGGGTACTGGACAGTACTGACCGTGTACACACACAATCCGGTTGCTCTGAAACCGAAAAGGATGAGTTCTACCTGACCCTGGACGAGGCCATAAGATCGGTTCCGGAAGAGGACTATCTCACCATAGCTGGAGATCTGAATGGCCATGTTGGGAGAGACAGAAGGGGTCTAGAAAGGGTGCACGGAGGTCAAGGAATAGGGACAAAGAACGCTGAGGGGGATCTTTGACCTAGCCATAGCCCACGACTTAGCAATCTGCTGCACCTTCTATCGGCGAAAAGAAATACCCAAAGGAACCTGCAGCAGTGTGGAGGGAGACAAACGGAAATCGACCATGTCCTGGTCAGAAGATCGTCTCTCAAAACCATCAAGGATATCAAGGTACTGCCTGGGGAAGAGCTGGGCCCTCAGCACAGGCCTCTCCTGGCAGACATCGCCATAGACCTCCCCAAGAAGACGAGGGTGAGAGCAGAGCGGAGAATTCGGTGGTGGAAAATGGGCAGGGTAGAAAAGGATAGCCTCGGCCGAAGAATACTGGAGGCTGGGCTCCCAGACCACATGGCCAGTCCAATTAACTGACCATACGCAGCAGAGGTTATCCTACAGTGTGCAAGGGAGGTCCTGGGAGAGACGCGAGGTGGTATCAGAGGAGACAAGGCAGCCTGGTTCTGGAACGAGGAAGTCCAGAGGATCGTCAAGCAGAAGAAGGAAGCATACAAACGCTGGCAAAAGACACGGAGCCCAGAAGACTACGCTGCCTACAAAAGCTGCAAGCGACTCGCCAAGGCAGCCGTTGCTAAGGCCAAGAATACGGAAATGGACGCCCTGTACGACAAGCTGGAAGGCCGAGAAGGGGACAAGTTCGTCTTCTTCCGTGACCGACGGTTGCTCGAGAACGCTCAAGGGCAAGGTGTACCGGCGGTGGTAAGGCCTACAATGCTCTACGGCAGTGAGTGCTGGCCTATCTGCAAGAACCATGAAAGGCAGCTCCACTCAGCTGAAATGAGGATGCTGAGATGGGCCTGCGGCTGGACACGACTCGACAGAGTCAGAAACGAGGACGTCAGGGCGGTCACACAGACCGCTCCCGTATACCAGCTGAGAGGCACGAGAGCAGCGACTGCCGATGGTAAGGCACGTTATAAGGAGGCCTGAGACCACCCAATAAGGAAGGCATTGGAACTCGAGGTAGAGGGCAAGCGACCACGAGGAGCCCCAAAGAAAAGATGGAGGGACGTCATCAAGAGGGACCTCACTGAAGTGAAAGCCACAGCAGAAGATGCAGTGGATCGGAACAAGTGGCGACGCCTAATAAGAACAGCGGACCCTGCAACGGCGCGGGACTAACGCTAGGGAGAAGAAGAAGAAGAAGAGCTCCATAAAAGCAAGCTCCGCCAGAGTAGACTCGCAGGGCTACACTTCAGCGGCACAGGTACGCTCAAGGAGACATGGAAAATTCGACTAGTGCGCCTTCCCAATTAGTAGTGTGCTTCTCCATTTCAGCTGGTGAAGAGGATGGGCGCTATAATAACTACTTGCACTCTGTGGTTCTGTTATCAGATTATTGAGTTTTACCACAGATGAGCAAAGTGGTACGGGTTAATCCCAGACCTTAAACTTGAGTATGAACTAAGCACGAATAAGCGTCCCTTGGAATATAGCAAAATTCAATCAATGTATCAAATTGAACGAGTCAAAGGCAAGGCCTTTATATGCACCTCCACAAGCGCCGCAGCTGTAGACTTCGACCTCGTGTCCTTCCATACAAAAGAAGTGCCATCTGCAGGAGCCACGTGCCGAGCCTAGCCTGGGAAGTGCTGAACGCTAAGCTGAAATGAAGCCAGATAAAAACACAAAGCTAAAGCTTACGGTGCATCAGTAATCAGTAAAAGGCGTGAAAATCGCGGTTATCCGCGATATTCCCGCCGACGCCAACTCACGTGATTAGGCGTCTTCTGGAAGCGCATCCAACTCTCTTTCGCGCTCTCGGATTTCTTCACTGCGTCTTGCTATTGCCATGTGTTCCACAGCCAGCTGATCGAGTAAGGCGCTGGCTACGTTCCGGCAAATCGCACAGTGCTGAGTGGTTGGTGTTCTCTCGGCAATGGAAGCAGCGCACAGTCAGCTGTGGGCAACGCTGGCCCCCTCCACAGCGCTCCAGGCAGTGCTCGCACTTTCCGTAGCGTAGCAGCAGCAGACGCCTTTCTGGAGATGTTCTCACGATTGGACAAGCGCTTGAGTAGTGTTCTCCACTGCATCACAAAAGGCGCACCCCATGTGTCTGTCACGTTCTCTAATGATGACCCCTCGCTCGATCCGACTCCTCTGACAAAAGGGTTGCCTCATCATATTCTCAATAGTATACGAAGAGACAGTCTGTTCTCGGCGCTGTCGGCGGAGTTCCAATAGAATCTGCCGTCCGGTGCGCACAGTGTGCGCTTGATTCACAGGATGACAGCCCTCCGCTCGTGCATTCTCTGGTCA